TTGACTTCATGTATGTTCTTGTTTAATCAAATCTTTTATATTGATAGGACAATAATGAATGATAAGCATAATAGAAAAAGATGTGCATGCGTGAAAGATATGCATGAAATGAATGATATTTAGATAGACATTATATGGAAGATAGACATGTAAAAAAGATATGCATGATATAAGTAAGAGATATGCATGAGATAAATATAAGTAAGAGATATTCTAAGATAGATTTATGAATAATATGAAAGATATGTTTGATGAATAGTTATACAACGGAATAAATATACATTTTAGTAGCATAAAGATGTCTTAAAATAATAGAGATACATTATTCTAAGACATATTTATGCTACTAAAATGTATATTTATTCCGTTGTATAACTATTCATCAAACATATCTTTCATATTATTCATATGAATGCTTGCATTTGCATGGTCAGAGGAGGATTTCACCCTTCAATGATACAGGCAGGACACACCAGTGTACTCGCGCGCGTAAAGTTATTCTTCCACCCTAGATAATTGTGATAGTTAGTTCACTAATAGTTGTGCCAACGAGATAATATCAGTCAAAGATGGGTAGACCAGAGCTTATCTTTCTAGAAAATTTTAATGTTTACATTACTAACCACTGTGTCAACAGGATAATATCGACTAGGAGCAGGTAAGAGCCTTTCCACCCTAAGAAATTACGATGTATAGATCACTAACGCTGTGCCGACAGGAGCCGACAGGGCATTATTGGCCAAGGTTGTGTTAGGTTTGCTGACGGTGATCCTCGTAGGGACAGATGTGCATGTAAAGAGTATAAAATAAAAATAAAATTAAGATAAATGCATATAAAATATTACTGTTTTTTCATTTAGAAAAGTTCATTGATGCATGTATTAACATATATTATATTGCTTAGAAACATATATCAGGTTTCTTATAAACATATATCTAATTGCTTATAAATTTGAAAGTCCAACATATTATATGATTTCTTATAGACACGTGCATATTGTTTTCTTTTCTTTGGATTACTGTAGTTTAGTTGTGTGATTACTCTCGAGTTATCTTTAGATAACTTATTATGTTACTTGAATATCATTTTTAATTTTAAACATTTGAACAAGATGAATAGAAGGGCAAATGTATACACAGAATACGAGAACAACAAACATAAAGCAATAAATTTCTATTTGTTAATTTTAATTGATTTTCTTAGTGGCTCTTTCATATATTGTTTGAATATTAAATTGTTAGTAATAGAATTAGAATAACAGAGAATTGATTTCTACTGTTTGACCTTCCTTTTCTGTCTTGGTTAACTCTAAGCCCCGGGCTGGGTCATGACAGCTGGCTCGACTCAACCTAATGTTGGCTTCGTCAACTCGCAAGCTCCTCTTCTTCTTCCGTAGTCACCTTTTCCTTTTTTGCACGTAGTGATCCTCTTCCCTCACGACATCGTGTCCTCGGGCAAAAAAAACTCTCAACACCTCTCATTCATTCCTCTGCTCTCTGACTGCGCGCTCGAGAAATTTTGTCTCACACGTCGATTTATAGAGCGAATTCTCCGTCTCTCTTCTTTTCGGTTGTCAAATTCCTCTTTTCCTCTTCTTTGTTTCCTTGTTTCCTCTTCCTCCGATTGTTCATTTCTTCTTCTGTGAGTAATTAAAACGAGGCTTTACAATATGGACTTGCAAATTTTATACTTGCTAATTAGACATTATTAAAAGCATTGGACTTATCGATTTCAGCCCTTCAAGAAGGATGATCGAACTAGATGAATTGACTTCTAACTTTATTCTATAGATACTGTGACTTACTTGAGTGTGTGCTTAACTTGATTATTTGAAATTAGATTTTAATACGTGAGACTTATCAATTTTTAAATAATCAAAAGTGTTTAAATTTCTTTTTAGCATTTCTCGTATTAAGAACTATTTGGGTGCAAATTTAACATTAACCTACACAACATTCTCAGAATATTCAACTTTAAGCACCGAGTAAATTTGGTGGGACACATGCAAGTATATTAAAGTTAATTTTTATTTAGCCGCACGATATTCTCGAATTTAGTACAACAATTTTAATGATTTCAAGACTTGCATTTGCTTTTCAAAATATTTTTTTAGCTTCGATATATTGCCTTAAAGTTTGTACAAGTATTCTAGAATATGAAGTTGCATTTTATGAGTACCTTAAATGTCATATTTGGATTCATGAGAACATAAAACACTATGTAATAGCACCTTGTGCATGCATTAGACATCATATAATTAAACTTTTTTAACGCATAAAAATATTTGTATAATTGCATCCTACAAGTGCTTAATGCATTAAAATGTGTGCAGATTAGTGAATTAGTCCACAAGTTCTCCGTTGATCATGTTAGGCAATTAAACTTGTTCATTTGGAGAATACCATGCATACTAATATAAAATTGTTTTAAAATAAATTGCTCTGAGAAGTGTCCAAGTTAATTTAAAAAACGTGCATTGATTTTTAAAGTGCCCAAATACATAAAATTGAAAAATCCGTATGTTCTCCAACTAATGTATAAAGTGCTCAAATTTTGGGTTCAAGAATGCCGCACAGGTAGCTCAAAATCAACTTTAATTTACACGTATGCGCTCCACTAATTTGATTAAGTGTTTAAACTTTAATGGTCTGAGAACACTGTAGATTAAGGTTCAATTTCCCCTAAAATAATTCTTGTTCTGAGAAACGTGCAAAGTTCTATTAAAAAATTCATGATTTTTTAAAAATTGATAACATTTATGTTTTAAAATCAAATTCCAAATAATCAAAAAGTACAAACTCAAGTGAGTCACACTAACTATAGAATAACGTCAAAAGTTCAATTCAACTAGTTCGATCCTCTGTCGCTTAAGGATCAGAGTCCATGAATCTCAGTACTTTCAATAATTTCCAAATAACAAGTATAAATCTGAAAGTTCAAATAACCTAAACCGATTCTCTTCCATGTTAGGATTGAAGTTGTCAATATTAAAATCTTTTTAGGATATTCAAGTGCCAAAATTTTAAAGAAATTTCAAACAAGAGTGTTTCAAATATTAAATTTTTCAATGATGGCCGAGTTTGATAGAAAATTTCAACCGGAATAGTTTATTTTTCAAAATTATGTTTCAAAGTGTTTTCGAATAAATTCAAATGATATAAACTATAAACCTTATCCCATGTAAGCAAAATAGAGTTGACGGGATTTAGATTTAATCGCACCGTTGTTAAGCCCGATTCTTTGTAAGCAAGATATACACTGTAGGGTTTGAATCAAGCTATCAATTTCCCAATGATTCCTTTGTAGACTATAAATTTCAACCGGAGTCGAATTTTAAATCAATTTTCAAATTAAGTTCTCAAAATGACAAATCAAAACATTCAAATTAAAAACAATCACATCGAAAATTAGAGAAAATTTTGTTCACCCTCTATAACAGTTTATTGAGAGTGACAAATTTTTTATTGACTTTAATTCATGCAGAGTTCCTATTGAGTGTATATCTATTTCACCTCAAAATAATCTCATGCTAGTAAGGACGTAATCAGATTCTTTTGTGTGCATTGTTTGGCTCAACGACTCCATATAAAATAATAGTTATACCAGAGCTTGTTTGTAATGTTTTGTTTATTGCTCCGCCTTTAATTGAAGATATTTGTGGCATAATCTCATACAAAAGAAATAATTTTTTTGTTTGCGTAGTGACTTTAATGTTTAATCTGTTCTTAAATTCAAATAATAATTACGGTGGTAACAAATTTTTTTAATCTTGATGGTGACAATATAATAATTTTTAAAATAAGAAGTTTTGATAAATTGATGATGAGAATTATGTATATCAAATTTTTTTAATATTTACATCATTATGATCAACGGCATAATCATGACCCCATTTGCAAGATATCTTAAAATTTTGTCAAATTGATATGCTGGTCATAAATTTCTTTCATTTTGTTGGAGGAAATGTAGTAATTTTCAAAATAATAAGCTTTTGATTAATTGATGATGAGAATAACACGAATCATTTTTTTTCCATATTTACAGCTCGATGACCAACTCTTTTGCTTGATCATGACTCCATTTGCAAAGATTCCTTAGAATCTTATTAAATTGATATATTTGATTTCTATATATAAATTATTCAATTTTTACCACAACTTTCCTATTAATTTAAGACCACCTAGGTTCTCATGAAATTTTTATTGGTCATATATTTTTTCTTAAAGAAATAATTTAAGCCCCTATTTTAAGTATGTGTTGCAACAACGTCATTCAAGGCTTCGGTATGAGAAGACGGTGAAGTTCCATTTGGTTGGAGCAAATGACGGCTGGAAATTTTTTTGTTTGATGAAGCAGCGGGAGAAGAACGTCTTCCGAAGTTCTTGTGTAAGAACGGAAAGTTGTTGCCGTTTCAGATCGCAACATGCCTTCTTGAGTTCAATGAACTAGCTTTTAATAGAAATTGGTGGAACACTGACACTGATTCAAATGAAGCCTAAAAGTTGTATCATAAACTCAATCGCGTTGTAGGTGGTTTTTTCACCCCATATTACAACTTCAATTGCATTGCAATGCTCTTCTTCAAAGCCTACAGTGTAACTTTTCTTACAACCATCTCAACACGACTTGCAACTTTGTCATCATTGCATCCAAAATTGTGGCGTGACCTTGCTTGTATAGAAACCATGTCCTTGCAAACCTTCTATCTTTTATCACAGCCTTGCTCGTGTCACATCGTCCCTTTTTTATGATTTGTGTCACAATCTTCCCCTCATAAGTATGCGTCGCAACCTTGCTTGTGTTTCATCTGTCCCCTTCCAGACCTGTCTTACAGCCCATTTTGGTTGTAACCCTACTTAGTATGCATCCATCCGTGCTTTAAATAGGTTTCGTAATCTTGTTGGCACAACCACGTTTCCTTTATCAATTTTGTCTATACCTTGATGCCGTTCGTAATGCTCTTATTATTTTCATACCTAACCTTTGGGAGAAACTATAGGTGCAACCAACAGACCTCAGGAACTCGATGAAGCTGCACGGAGGAGACTCACAAAGCGGCTGTACATACCTCTCCCATCGTCAGGTTTGTTTATGTTCAGTTTCCTGGTTTCCCTTTGAAAACAATTCAAACTTTCTTCACTGGTCATGAAGAAGCTAGAGCCTGGATTGTCCGTAATCTCCTCGATAAGGATGGGTTGTTCAAGCTTTCAGATGAAGATAATGCCACCATCTGCAAGTTAACGGAAGGTGCTCTTCTTTTATTTATAAGACTGCCATGTTTGAAACCAGACAGTTTATGAGCTGCTGTGTGGTTCCAGGCTATTCAGGATCAGACATGAAGAACCTTGTCAAGGATGCATCCATGGGGCCACTAAGGGAGGCCCTCCGGCAGGGTATCGAGATAACAAAGCTCAAGAAAGAGGATATGAGACCTGTGACCCTTCAGGTTTGTCCCCTGCATTCTTCTTACGAGTCAAAGAGGTCATTATGCTAATCTTTATTTTTAGGACTTTGAGAACGCACTGCAAGAAGTGAGGCCTTCAGTTTCGTTTAGTGAGCTCGGCACTTACGAGGCATGGAATAGACAATTTGGAAGCTTATCAATGTAAGCATTAGCCTCACCTGGGAGATCAAAACTATAAATATGTGATTCGTATTCAACATGACTTAAAAATGTTATGAAATTCTTATTGCATTTGCGTTTAAACCCTATGTTCAAAATAGATGTTCGAAGTACCTAAATTAAATAAGGATCAAAAACTAAATATAATCCCCAAACCTTATTCATTTTAAAACTAAAGATTACCTTGTGCCTCCTTCCTATTATAACATAGTATTGCTTGTGTTGGATACATATCTAACCAAAGAAAAATATAAATACTAGCCTTTGCTTGAAGGGTTTTGTAGTTAAAATTTATGGTGAAAAGATCACTCGAGGATAAAGAGAGAGTTTTCCTGAAAGACAACATTAGTACTTCAAATAAATATAATTTAGTGCCTATCTCATGCAGCAATATGCAAATCATCCCTATATTTCAATAATAAGAATGGTTTTATCCAAGTTGAAATTTTAAACATATTTCCCCGAGTAAAAATGTATTGTTTTGATTTGGTTAAATAAGTGCATCAAGAGGCACATAAAGTCAAAATTCTCTTTTAGATGGTAGTTCTTTAAGTGCATATACATATTAATTTATGACTACTCATGTTGATGTAATTTACGACTGGTGAGTTGATGGGTAACTTGTTAAATTCATTATTAAATCATTAATAATTAAAAGAATTTAACGATCTTTAAATTTTCTTATGTTCAATAACCATTTTAATTTAAGGTAAATCAAACAATTAGGCTCATGGGATCAATTTCATCCATATATATTGATAAATAATTCAAGGATGTGGACATATTGAATAACAATTCTATTTTTAATTTTGATTATTACTTGATATTAATCAATTGTTTGAATCTTGGTTGGATTAGATCATGCTCATGGATGATGGAAGGGTATTATTAACAATATTTATAAGATATGACGACGAGGAGGAAGAACAAAATGGCGATAAGAAAGAATAAGAAGTTAATACCTCTTAACAACCCAACGTGATATTGTATACAAAATTTGCATTTTAACTCTATATAAATTTTTTTATGTTATGAGAAAAGCTGTACTTTGATTTCATAAAAAAAATAGATTAAAAATTAAATGACATGAAAATATTTATGATGGGATTGTTTTACACGTGGGAAACTTTATAAATATTTATAAGACATCATTGACAATACATTAATATAATTATAGTAGGTTCGGCTTCTCAAACAAAACCATAGTAAGGAAATTTAGGATGATGCCCAATATAATATTCTATTGATAGTTATACAAAATGAAAACTCCCCTTCTCGCCTTCATTGAACTAGCCTAGGTCAAAGAGTATTAGATATATATCTTAGGGAACGATTTTTAAGTGAGTAGGTTTTTGAAGTAGTAAGAGAAGTCACTTTGGCTGTGGGGACTAACATAAGGTTTGAGAAAGAGGTTTTACAATTTTTTGTTTCACAAGAGCATAATCATGTGGTTCATAGTTCAACTCTTCCTATTTTGAGTGAACTTCACGACTTGCTTTGCTCAAACATGTCAACGGTTAGGTGGTCAAGTTTTTTAGCATGTCTTTTTAGCCTCAACTCAAAGTTACATTGATTTCTTTAAGAATTAAGTGACCACAATAGTGACTTATACCAACAAAGGGAAGCAAAACTATTTTTCCAAAAAAAAAGTACTAGCATGATTGAGAGTCATCAAACCTAATTCCTAATGACATATTGATTTTATTCATTAGGAAGTAAAAAACATTTAGTACTAACATCAATTCTGCATCAGTGTTGGAATCCTTGTAACCTTAGTTCTTATTTACTGCAAGTTCATCATACAACTCATGACAACTAAGGAAATTTCTTTATTGTGAAACTTAAAAATTTATTAGAATGTTCATTAACAACAAGTGTGAGGTCATCCTTGAAGATTTGTAATCAAGAAATATTTACAATATCTCTTTTATATAAGAAGATATGATTTTAATGGTAAAGCGCAAAACCAATTTTTTTGTAAAGATGAAAAAAGAGCTTTATAATTTGTAGTTTTAAAATTTAAAACTTTAAGGTTTATATGACATCCCTAAAAAATATTTTCTCTTCCTTACATATATTCCTTAAACTCCACAACAAAAAATTTATTTATTCATTGCTCCTTCATGTTTTATCACCTTACTGCATGCTCTATGGCACAAAATGTTGGCCTTTAAATGGGAAGCATCAAAACAAACTTAAGTGTTGCTGAGATGATAATGCTTAAGTGAACAAGTGACTTGAGACTTAAAGATAACATGCGAAATGAATATATCAATGATAGGGTTGGTGTAGCTCCACTGACAGACAAGATTAAAGAGGGTCATCTTGGATGGTTTGGCCACATTAATCGCCAACCATCTAATGATCATGTGACGAGAGTAGATATTTAGATTTGAATAATGTTTAGAAAGGCAGAGTTAGACCTAAAAAGACTTTGACATATTGTATAAAAAATGAGTTTAATAGATTTGAATTAAACAAAAATATGGCACTCAATAGAATTCAATGAAGAAAAAGGATTCATGTAACCAACCCCACTTAGTGGGATAAAGGCTTGTTGTTGTTGTAACACATTACATCTTGGCTATTGATTTAAATGGTGTAAGTTTCATTGTGAAATATCTAAAGGAATGCAATTTCCTAACAATTTTTTTTAGTGATGAAATGTGCTTTTATATAGATCACTTTTGGTAAGGACTTTAAGTTTTATTATGCCACTTGATGATTTACGACATAAGTTTACATGGGTTTATTTTGCCTATATTATATTGAATTTCCTGACAAATATTATTACCATGTTCTTTTATATGTGAGTGATTAGAATTTACTTGAGCATTAATTATTTTTGTCTTTTCTCCATCATGGTAATTAAGAATGGGAGTGGTTTGTTCTCTTCTAACTATCAAAAAATAAGGGATTTTGGGAAAAAGCTCAGGATTTGGAAAACTAAGTTTTCTTTTATGAATTTAGACATTAGGTTTTGAGTTCATTAGTCTTCACTGAGGAAAATGCTAAACTCTTACTTATAAGGACAAGTAATTCTCCTACCTTTGACTTATAGGTTTGGGTAGGTAGGTTAAATAGTATGTTTCCATGGAAAATATACAAAAACCTTATATAGTTAAATTTTGATATATTTTTTTTTCATTTTTTTGGTTCATTTAGTTCCAAGATATAGTGATTTTTTTTATTAATATCATATCTTTTGGCAATCCTAAAGTTTATGGTGTCTTGGTTGGCTCCTTAGTCATTAGGTTATTGGAAGGAGCGGTCTGAAAGAACTCAAAGAAAGGAATGTCTAAGGAAAAAACTATTCTTTTTTAGGATGAGAAACTAGGATAAATGTCGTGCTCTAAATTCTATTTCTTTTGATGTTCCCGCAAGCTCATTTTAGCTTGATAATCTTAGGGATTGCTATAATGGATAATGAATGTTTTAATTGAATCTCCTCCTATCACCCCACTTTATTGGGGACATATCATTATATTAGATTAAATTGTTCCACCATCCATGAACTTTACTTGAGTCGTCCACTTTTTTTTTCTAGACTTTACATACATTATTTAAATCACAAGGTGAACCACACACTTCATGGGTGTTGGGATCCCCCTCAAAGAATTGTTAGTGATGAGGCATTAGTAAATAAGGGGCTGAGGGAGAAAAATGAGAAGATAAGGTGAGTTTTGTGAATAGGCAAGGGAAGGAGATTGCTACTCACCCTTTTAAGAGATCTAAAGCCTCTTTCAGGGTGATTTTACTAGTGGTGTTCTTTTCTACAATCAATTAACTTTTCCCCTTATAAATTTTATGGATGAGACCTCTTGGATGGCCTATGACCTTAGCCTCATCATGTTTTCTTGATCACCATAGTGCCTAGTTTGTAATCAAAATATTTAATGAGTGGATGCTTTAAGTGGTTGCTCCACCTAATTGACCAAAAATCCAAGACATTAAATTTATTTGATGCAAAGATGAAAGTTTTGAAGAAATGTCAACATAATGAAAAGTATGATCATCAAGTCTTAAGTGAGAATTAGTATTTGAAAGGTGACTTATCTAAGGATTCGTCTATGATGATGGTGCTCTCAAAAATGTTTCGAAAAACTCACGGATTAGGTGTATAAACTTGTATGTTTCTTTTTTCCTCCAATTCATTAATTCATATTATTTTGATTTGCTTTCGTTTAGGTCCTTTTGGGGTCCAGGTCTTCCAAACTTCAAGTCATCAATTGATACACAATCCATCCTTGCTCATGAAATCCCTTAGGCCCTAAGCCTAGTTTTAGTTCATTTACATTCAGAATTTAAAATAAAACCTAACTAAACCAAAAATAATAAAGATTAGTTGGCACATCACATGTACTCATTGATACCAAACATGTGGATTTAACACTACTTGGTGTTAAACCGCCTTATATTGGTCGGTCATACTTAAGGTGATAAGTAACAAGCTAGGAAACACCTACAAAAAATATTTTTGTTTAAATTTTTATTTTCTTTTAGAGATTTACCATCAAATCATGGCCTCCTGTAAAAAATAAGTTTTAGGAATACTAAAATGTTTCTCGAACATCCAATTTATAAGCAAACAACTTGCCTACCATCCAAGTATCTTGACAATCAATATAAAATATGATAATCACATCACATAGTATATAAAACAGTCACTCATTGTCATCCTGAAGTTAGTTCAGTGTTGATGACCTAAACTTTTTCTTAATGTGTGTGTAATGGGTGTTATATGAATATTTTGGTCTTTAGAGGTTCAGTTTTTATAAGCTGGTGATTTCAATTCAAATAAATAATGTTTAAGGGGTGAATTGTAAGTTTGCCAATTTATTTCACCTATAAAAAGTTAACTTGAGCTTATAAGTAACCTAAAGAAAATCTTAGGATAAATTTCACTTAAGTACCAAGAAATTATAATATTAATTAATTAATTTGCTATTAAATTCAATTAACATTAATTAATTAAGTTTAATTTTTCTATTTGTTATTTTAAAAGGACATTCTTTTTAGTCTACGTAATTTTTCCTAAAATTTATATAGTTTTTTTATAATTTTTAAAAGAGTTTTCTGATTAT